CTTGTCACACTGCGACCTTCCTCCAACTTCCCAATGATTCGACCTCGGGTTAAAGCATCCAGATGTCGTCTAACAGATTGATTATTCGCCATTTCTCGCTGAGGCAGCAACTCGGTGTGATTTTAACTGCTATACGGCGTGCAATATCTTTGCCAGAAATACTGATCTTACACCGACAACATGCTTTATACTACTCAGACACTCCCCATTACGTCTACCTGCATATCTGCGCATGTGCTACCGTACATCAACCTTACTTAATCTCCTGATTGGTCTTTCTGTCCGCTCTGCCTCTTTGTTCAGCTGATATGCTAATTTTTCGACTTCGTCCTTAATTTTTGCACACCAGTGTATACTACGTTACATCCCTGTTATATAAAGAGAATTAAAGAATGATAATCAAACATTTACTTTATTTTTTATAATGAAATACAAATTTATTCGTAACCCATTTCAGGGGAATCATTCATGCATTACAAAATGAAATCGAGTGGGAAAATAGAAGCAAATGGTATTTATAATTACCAAGGGACAATACGTGGGAAATTTATATGCGTGCATATTTACACATATATGTATACATATCCCGATTACACTGTCAATAAAGACTCTACAAAGACTAATATGATAGTATAAAATATGCATTGATTATTTTTGCTATCATTCAGTTATTTATTGTATTATTCAACTATTCAGAACAGTCCGCAAGATTATCATAAGTCTCATAAATATAAACATAACGAACAATAATTTACATGACTGTCATGCAATTAATAAACCATTAAATTTGAATTTCCTGTAATTAGTTTATCTCAGTACAAATAATCTTTATTGAAACACATCATTCGCTATTCCCTACGTATTGTCCCTTGGTAATTATTAAATAACATTTGCTTCTATTTTCCCACTCGACTTCATTTTGTAATGCATGAATGATTCCCCTGAAATGGGTTACGAATAAATTTGTATTTAATTATAAAAAAATAAAATGTTTGATTATCATTCTTTAATAACTGTAAATAATAGTTTCGTTAAATCATTCCTGAAAAATACATTATCATCAGTAAAAAAGGAACTTCAGTACTTTCGAATTTCAGAGATTTGTGGCAAAAACATTCTAAGTAACCAGGAATCGTTTATAGCAGGCGAGAAGTGTTTCTTCCTTTAACTCAAACTTTAGTGATTAATTTTTAATTTTTAAATGATTTTGACGGTTTGTGATTTTTAGTTTGTTAAACAGTTGGGAAAACTGTTACATTTCTGATAAAAAATTCGATAAATTTAAGACCTTAAAGTAGATTTGATGTTCAAGTTATAACGTAAAATTTATACGTAATACAGACATTATTATATTTAATGATATTTTATTAATTATAAGAAAAAATAATATTTCTCGGAATGTTATAAACGCTGAAGTCCAGTCATTAAAGAATTCTTATAATTATATGAAGGTGAATGTGTTCTATTACTGGCTAATGAATTCAGCACCAATGTCAGTTCAGTGATAGTTTTTTTAGCCCTAAGGGCGTTAGCCTAGAAGGGCTATGAATTTCATTTTAGCATTTTGCATCGAAAACTTGAAAATTTTCAATCACTTTTCAAAATGTTGCCACCATATATTATTGCCTTGTATTATATTTAAAGAAATTAAATAATGAAGAATCTGCATAAATGCATGTATGTTTCTCGCAATGTAATAAAACGACGGTACCTAGAGCCATCCAATTTTGAATAACGTACATCTCCACCCGAATATGGACATCTAGAAGTCCATATTTGGATTTGGAATTTGTTTTATTATCGATTTCATATTTTGTAAAGCATTTATGAGTTTCCAATTAAGAAACTCAACTATTGCCACTTTTCTATAAAGTAATATTTTAGGTATCCAAGTTGTAAAAATTTTCAGAATTCGACAGACATACCTTAAATCAGGGTTACGCTAACTTTTTACAAGTCGCCACCACTTTTATAAATTATAATATTCTAATTCATACTTACTCCTTCACATATTTTTATCCCCTTCGAAAGCAATTTTTAGCAGATGTTACTACTACTAGTATACTTATATTTTTTTAATACAAATAATTAAAATTCATCTAATTTTATATTAGTATTAAGGTTATAAAGTATTTTCTCGCTCCTTCAGCATGCCTTCGTGGTATAACGGTATCACATTCGGCGCATAGTCGAGAGGTGCAGAATTCGAGTTCCGGCGAGGGTACTGCACAGTTTTCGCGTATCTTTCTTCCAAAAAAAAAATGGCGCCCGAACTAAAAGTTAATGAACCACCAGAAGGTGAACTAAAGGTGGTGTCAGCACCAGAATTTGGAGGCTGGGTCTGCTAATACCCAGTCACCGTTTAAAAGAGGCAGTATATAAAGCATTTTCTCCTTCATTCCAACATGCCTTCCTGGTGTAATGGTAGCACACTCGGCGCGTATTCGAGAGGTCCAGGGTACGAGTCTAGGCGAGGGCACTGCACATTTTTCACGTCTCCTGTTAAAATAAATATATAAAACAAATCTGAAAACTTTCAGATTTTATATTATGCCCAAAAGGGCCTTTTTTTAACTTTTGTGTGTTACTTTTATTTTTTCATTTTTTAAATATCATCTGCTTCGCACTTAAACCATAAAATGCAATTCAACAGCAATTTCACAAAATATTTAAAAGAGCATACCTTTAGAATTTCCGATAAACAGTCTCGCGCACTGGGGATATATATATATATATATATATATATATTTCAGTGTTGCCTTTGCTTGCTTTGAAACCGTTGAGTTTCTTAATCAAAAGCTCAAATGCTTTACAAAATATGAAATAGATAGTAAAACAAATTCCAAATTCCAAATTTGGACTTCTAGATGCCCATATTCGGGTGGAGACGTACGTTATTCAAAACTGGATGGCTCCAGGTACCGTTGTTTTATACCAATGCGAGAAGCACACATACAATAATACAGATTCTTCATTATTTAATTTCTTTAAATATAATGCAGGTTTTAATATTTGTTGGCAACAATTTAAAAAGTGATTCGCCGTTTATTGAGAATGAAAGCAAAGTGCCAAAACGGAATTAATAGCTCATCTTGGACAGGTGTCCCTTTGAATTGGAGGGGGGAGGGAACTAATGTCTCTACAAGGTAATTGAGAAAAAAATATATTTGTTTTTAAATATTCAAGATTTATTACAGTTTGGATAATGTTTACCTTGTTAACTAAAAATTTAATAAATGCTGGAACTCACATTAATGAGATGGTTAAACATGCCTATTCTTAAATAGCTGTTCTAGTTTGGTTGTATGCTGGTAAGAAGCACCGCAGTCATAGGCTTTAAATCTCTCTTTTATTACTAAAACTAGAGTGGGTAGTCCGTAGATAGGATAACTGGTAATACCTACAGAAAATGCTAGTCTTGGCAGAAAATGTGATAGAAGATTCCCGTATATCATTTTCAAACTTGGAGAATTTCCTCTTGTGGTATATGTAGTTAATTTGAATTTTTTATCCAAAGGGGCAATTTGCCCCGAAGGACTATACATTTTGTTTTGGCATTTTGCGTTGATTCACTTTCTGCATTGTTTCACTTTTCAAATTGTTGCCACCAAATATTATCACCATGTATTACATTTAAAGAAATTAAATGATGAAGAATCTGCATAAATGTATGTATGTTTCTCACATTGTGATAAAACAGCGTTACCTAGAGCCATCCAATTTTGAATAACGTAGTCCTACAGCGAATATGGGATTCTGAAAGCCCAAATTTGAAATTTGAAATTTGTTTTATAATCATTTTAAAATTTTGTAAAACCTTAACTGATTTTTCATTAGGAAACTCAACGATTTCAAAGCGAGCAATGGCGACGTTGTACAGAAAAAAAAAAATTATCTCCAGCGCGCGAGATTGTGTATCGGAAATTCTAAAGATATACTCAATTTAAAATTAATTTGCGATATTGAATTTTATGGTTTAAGGGCGAAGAACATGATATTTAATAAATAAAGGTAAAACACAAAATATTTTTAAAAAACGCCCCTCTGGAAGTAATTTAAAATCTGAAACCTTTCAAGTTTTTTTTTTTTTTTTTTTTTTTTTTTTTTTTTTTTTTTTTTTTTTAATGTAAGTGTGTGATTTTTGGAAACCAAGCAGGTTTTTTTTACACTGGTAGGCTTCTAAGATCAGTTTTATTCGCTGGCTATGCCGGATCGGAAGCTATGCCGTAAGAAACGTTGCTTCTTGTAATTCATAGGGCTGACAATATTTGCACATTTTCATCAGAAATGCTTTCGTCTGCAGCATAAATTAATGGCATTGGCGGATATTGTATTCTGCTATATAATAATAGTGATTTTAAGCTTGTATTTGAAACGTCGGTCAAATACAATAGCATTTGTTTTTCCGGATTGTGTAGATGCAATGAAACCTCAAGTAATGAGTCTATGGCATTCAAGCGTAAAGAATCATTATTCTAAAGTTAAGTTTTCAAATTCGGTCTGGAATAGAAACCATTAACGTTTAAGCTGTTTTCTAAGAAATGTCATCCTTTTTTATTAACAATATTAGGCTCAGATACCTGAAGTCAAGTCAGACATTTTGATAAATGGGATCGTGAACAAGGTCATTTAATTCCTGTTTGTTTATACAATAAACCTCTAAAGAATCTTTCAAAAATTTATGATCTTTTTCTCTTTTTTGGACCTCAAAGGTCTATTTCACTAATATCACTCACTCATTCTATATTATTTCAAGAATGGGCCTGGAATGGAACGAAATTTTAAGAATTCATTTCATACATTGTACCCGATTGAAAACGACAGCACTCTCTTTCCAGTTAAAGAAAGGAAGAATCAAATGGGGTTGTCACTCCATATTCATCAATCCTCGCCAACCCTGGAGCTGTCTTGGCTGCAAAGTGGGTTACACCTGCAAAAAAGGCAACCCTCCGTCGGAGCGGGGGCAAGCTACTCCATAGGTCGACCCCTCCTCCTCTTCACTTCACTTCCTCTAAAGATTTACTCTCCTGAATATGTGATGCTCTAGTTTTGAATCGTCGGTGCTATATAAAGAGAAATTTCGCTGCGGACGATAGCAAACGATTCATAGAAGTTTCGAAACTTGTTAAGCTCCCAGTTTCTTTAAACAGGTGAGTACGATCTGCCAAATAATATCTGGATATATATTTCATTTCTTATGTTTCATATAATATTTATATGCTTACTGAAACTTTACACTCAGAAATTAAATACCGTGTATCTAAGACATATAATATTTCAGTTTATTTTTCAGCATAGCTATTGCAAATCTAGGATTCAATATGATTCTCAGTTAGAAGCTTAAACTGTATCTAAAATCAACTTCAGTTTGAGAAAAATGTTGAATTATTATTTTACTTATTGAAAGTAATGTGTTTACGAAATTATTCTGCAATTTTCGGTAGTTGGAATTAAAAATAAATGAAACTTTAATTAATTAAACATTACTTGAAATGTTTTAAAGACATTTTGCCGGGGAAAACAGCAGAATCTTTTGTTTAATATTAAATAAAAACACTTCTAAAAGGTGATCCAAATTTTAGTCTTATTTAATTACTCTCATAATTACTTTTATCTGAATAGAAATGATTACTTTCTAAAACGTTATAAAAAATAATATTTCTAAAACAGAAATGTTTCTCTTCCTGGAAAAGACAGGGATCTGTGTGTGATCACTCTTGAAAAGGATAAAGTTTTATTCAAAATTTGCACCAAAATTTAAAAAAAAAAAAATGCTTAACTTTTTAACTAACTTTTTTTTTAAATACTTGTTAACTCTTTAAAACAAATCATTATTTCACAATGCATAAATTTTTTAGATCCAAAAATTTAAATGGATATTTGTGTTAATGTTTCTTTTTTATTGGCACTTTGAAATATTGCGTGCATATCGTATATTACTGAATTTTTTTGATATGTTATATTTTATTGCATATTATTTATCATTTAAATTAAATTTCCATTTTAAAGGAATTCTGCAAAAATACTTAACCAGAGCTATTCTTAAATTTTTGCGATATTTTAATAATTATCATACTTATTATACGTTTACTAGTTTAAGAAATACTGAGATTTATTCTTCTTCTAAAATTTAAATTACTTTGATATTGATTTCATTTCAGAAAAAATAGATATATTTAACAGTAATACGTAAATTAACCTTAAAAACATTTTTCTGCTTATTAATGACTTTTTTTAATTAATGCTACTAAAATTGGATCTAAAATTAATTGCAAAAAATTAATTAACAATATTGTTGTTTCAATCCGATTCTTTGCTTTATTTTCATTCAGAAATTGCCAAGAAGTATTCAAATCTTTTTAGTTAACCCAGAAAGGCTATTAATCTCGAAACGGCATTTTGCGTCGAATCATTATAAACGTCTGTATAACTATTCGAATTGTTGTCGCCAAGTATTATCGCCCTGTATTATATTTAAAGAAACTAAATAATGAAGAATCTACATGATGTATGTACGTTTCTCGCATTGTGGAAAAACAACGGTACTTAGAGTCATCAAATTTTGAATAACTTAGTCCTCCATCCGAACATGGGAAGCGTGAATTTGGAATTTGTTTTTATCGTCTATTTCATATTTTCTAAAACTTTAACGAATTTTTGATTAAAAAAACTCAACAATATCAAAGCGAGGAGTGGCGATACTGTAGGGAATAAAATATTTTTATCTTCAGCGCGCTACGTTGTCTATCGGAAATTCTAAAGATATGCTGTTTTTAAATATTTTTAGTCTAATATGGTGTTAGCCCAAATTCTGTCGTGACGTGTATGTGTCTGTAAATGGAAAAAAAGGCCCGTTTGGGCGTAATATAGAATCTGAAAGTTTTCATATTTTTATTTATTTTTATGTATTATTTATAAATATCAATTTTTGTTAAATGCGTCCCTAATATAAATTACAATTACAAATAGAAGAAAAGCACAGCCTTTTAATAAGTCTTAAAATCGGACATCACCGGAGCACGTGAATCAAGAAAAGTGCATTTTATAAGCATTTGCAAAAAGTTTATTATGTGTGTTAATGTATTTCATATTTAAATTAAAAAAATTTCATTTGATTCTGATACAAAACATACATACATAAAATGTATGAGAATACATTTTATTTATATGAGAATACAAATGTATGAGAATACATTTTATTTTCATAAAAGGGATAACTTTTAAGGTTTTAAATTAGATATTTACGAGAAATTAGTGAATAAAATTAGTATGCATAAAAGAAAAATCAATTATGGGCCAAACTGAATTTAAGATCAACTGCTATCTATCCATTTAGGAGGATTTTTATTGAAAATATAGCCTATTTCCCTCATAATTCAAAGGTATGATTCCTTTCAGACATCGTACAAAAATTTTTAAGCTTATTTTTCTAGGCATCAAAGACAAATGGAAGTAAATCCCTAGGAAAGAATTGATTTTTAAAATAACTAATTCAGTTTTCAGTGAATCATAACATGAAGCTTTCCATGATAATTGCAAAGCTTTACTGAAGAGCCTATTCTGTACAATTAATAATCTTAATATTGAAACAAAACCTAAAAGTTACGGTTATGGTTAAATTTTATTCTAATGAGCAGCCTTTATATAAGGCTTTTAATGAGTAATAAGACTAAATATTAAACCCCGTTTTTTCAGCTGCCAAGTAATGCGAGTTGTACAGGTCTGCTTAGAGTTTTCCATTAGCAGGAAATATTAACTACGAAACTAAAAGAAATTTTAACGGATATGAAATTATTTAGATTAAACTTTTTTCTTGTTGTTACGAGGAAAAAATAATACTTTAATTTTACCTGATTTTTAACGTTTTACGCTACCCCTGTGTTCCATGAAGTAGCAAAAGTTGACATTAATTTAGATGTTCTGGAAGTTAGAAACAAATACAAATTTTAATATTACCGACAGATAATACAAAAAGATTTTTCATTATATCCTCAGTCGTCTGTTCTGTTGGCTAAAAGATTTGATTCCACAGTCGTGTACAAAATAAGAAAAATTACAATTAATTAGACATTATTAAAACTGTGAAGGTTTAGCTACCAATTCAATAAAAGTAACTACTCGAATTGATAATAAAATAAAACATATATCGAATATATATATAACTAAAGAAAACTAAAAGCGAAATTTAAAATATTTCTTGCCTTCACTCAGTCGCAAAACTATCAAAGACTCAAATATAGAATTAATAAAATATGACTACTAATTTTCCATTTCTGCTGCTCAGCACTAATTGAAAAGACATATGTCATAAAAATATATAGTCGCAAGAGAGAAGAATATTCACTCGCTTCTTTTTCTTCACAATTGCACTAATACTGAAACATTAACTAAAACTGTAGTCAAATTTCATATAAAGCTTCATTTACTTTTATTTTATGATTAGATTAAACGGCATAGCAAAATTATATATAGCAAAATATATAGCAAAATTTCAAAATAATTTTATTTACAATCCGAAAAAATACTTTTTTGAGAGTTTTAGAAAATATTTTTGTGAAAGACTACAAGCAATGGTAATTGAGAAAAAGAAATCTGAAAGCTTTCAGATTTTATACTACGCCTAAAGGGGCGGTTTTTTTTAACCTCTTATGTGTTATTTATTAAATATCATGTTCTTCTCAGTTAAACCATAAAATTCAATTCAACAACAATATCACAAAATAATTTAGAAAGAGTATAGCTTTAGAATTTTCGATAAACAGCCTCGCGCGCTGGAGATTAAAAGGTTTTTTTTTCCTTCGTACAGTGTTGCCATTTTTCACTTTGAAATCTTTGAGTTAATTAATAAAAAATTCGTTAAAGCTTTATAAAATATGAAATAGATAATAAAACAAATTCCGAATTTGGGCTTCCAGTTGCCCATATTCGAGTGGAGGACCACTTTATTCAAAATTTGATATCTCCAGGTACCATTGTTTATTTACAATGCGAAAAACATACATACATACATTCATGCAGATTCTTCAATATTTGATTTTTTTAAATATATTGCAGGGGTCTAATATTGGTGGCAACAATTTGAAAATTGAAAGGCCGTTTATAGTAAACCAACGCAAATTGCCAAAACGAAATAGCTCTTCTGGACAAATTCCACCCTTGGGCTAGTAAAAGTTATTGATATTGCGCTGCTATTAATATGATCAATATAATCAAAAATAAGAATATTAGAAAGTTGATATCTCCCAAAAGCAACTAACAAAAGACAGTACAAGGCTCATATTTATTTTTTCAGGGCTGTAAATGTAAAAACTACCAGCTCTGTCTTACGCATGCGCAACTTTTCTGTAATACATGTTTGTCAAATTGTTACTGTTACTATTATAATGTTCTTTGATGAATAAAATTCTAATGCCATCCTTACTGAAGAATTAATTTATAATTTGCACTGTATACAAGTGAATGTGTTTTCGTTTGTTAGTTTAATATTCCTTAACAAGCGATGAAGCGTAATTAGAAAAATTAAGGTTCAGTTTAATTTCTTAATTAATTCAATATTAAATCGAGATCAATGAACCATTTTTAGCCGATTCTGTTATTCGCAGACCATCCAAACGTTAATTAAATATATTCTAAATATACGTTGCTGAAAAATTTTAAATATTATTTAGCAGCAGTTCTGTTAGTATATGACAGAATAAAGTGAGGTGTTAATAGCATGTATCATTATGTATTCAGACAATCATTTATAAGCCACATTAATATATGTTTCCGTTATCATATTGTAGCATTTCGTTGTAGTTTATGGCCCACCAGCGGCCGAGCGGTAAAGTCGCTGAACACTGGTAGTTCGGTCCGAGGTTCGAATCCCGCGAACGGGCTGGCTGCATGGGTGTTTTCGTGGTTTTCCCCATGTGTAACGTGTATACGAGCCAGTTTCCCTTAGAAAGTCCTCCACGAAGGCATCCCTCCCCTTAGGCAGATAAGAGCCCTAGTGTGCTTTGCCATAATTAAATACACACACAAATACACGTTGTAGTTTATGTTTTTGCACACAAATCAGTTATTTCAAGCAAGTAAAGAAAACGGCCTTTTTATTACTATAAAGGTCTAAGCACAAATGAAAAACGTAGTACCCAAAACCAGATCTACAGTTTTTTCCATCTCATATCTCATTATTTATCCAATGACGGGTATTAACCGTTATAGGCAATGGCCTACGAAGGGATGGATAATTTACGTCCATGACTTCTCCGGGATTCGAACCCAAGCTCTTCGCCACGACAGTCAGAGTCAGTAACCACTTTTCTGCCTGGGCGGCCATATTTCAGTATAGATGCAATGAAAAGAATGTGCCAACTATAATATCTGATTATTTATTGAACTCAAAACATCATTTTATATAAGCAGTAATTTTATTACATGTTTTACCATTAAACATATAAAAAACAGAAATTCTGGAATCTTTCTAAATACTTTGCTATAGCTTGAAAAACTGCGAACAGGCAAGAATTATCCAATTTTCCATTGTGATTGGATATAGTTTCCCTCCTATGAAATGTGATAGAATAATTTTGAAGAAAAGAAAATAAATAAATTCATGATAATGTTTAAATTTATGGAAATTGTTAGTTTTTTCTCCGTACGTTAAACCAAAATTAATACATTTCTGAATGTTTTTTTTCAAGAAATATTATATTTTTCAGCAGCCTTAAAATTGCGTTTTTGAAGTGAATAACGGAAATTATTAGGCACTTTCATGAAGTTGCGTGAGTTTGATAACACATAAAAGAGCAGAAGAAGGAACTTTATTAATTGAAACAAATTTCATTTTCAAATTATTTAATATTAATATTAATAATTATTTAATATTATTTAATATTTTCTTTGGGAAATTATTGAAAATAAGAACCCATGCTATTCACGCAATTATCACCAGAAGACAACTTTTGTATATTATTATCAAACACTTTTGTCACCAGTTCACTGATAAAGGGATTCACCAGCAGCCGAGCGGTAAAGTCGCTGAACACTGGTAGTTCGGTTCGTGGTTTGAATCTCAGCAAACGTGCTGACTGCATGGGCGTTTTCGTAGTTTCTCCCCTGTGCGAAATGTATAAGAGCCAGTTTTCCTTAAAATTCTCCACGAAGGCATCCCTTTCCTTCAGCAGATAGTTCTCGAGTGCTTTGCCATAATCAGATAAACCAAACGAAACAAAACCATTGAGTAAGTGCGCCTAGAATTCTTTCTTGTCAGCAAATGACTTTCCACGAAAACTGCTTCGATAGAAAAGGGTTTCTTTTGTTAATAATTTTATCTTGTATATATATATATATATATATATAATCCACCAGTGACCGAAAATAAAGAACCATTAAATACCATTCGTTGTGTTCGGATTCGATTTCTGGCACTAAAATTAACTGGTTGCATTTCTGAATGTAAAATATTACGTAACACCTCATGCTCCACAATATATATTATAAAGTTTGTGAAAAAAGGAGAAAAAAGCTCATATAAGAAAGAGAAAGGCATCAACTACATACAAATATAGAATGGTTTACGGAAATATAAACGCAGAAAACTAAATAGATAAATATTAACAAAAAAATCATCTCTAAAATGTAGATACTAAGAAGCGATTGAAGTTTTACATGCTTGAATTTTATTAATTTTATTTTATCTTCGTCTTTTTGTAGGTACAAATTATGAGGGTCCTCTGGACGGCAACAGCTTTAGTATTACTCATCTCCACCCCGGCTTTCAGCCAAGGGCCCTTCCCGTTCTTCGGTGGAGGAGGCGGCCCTGTCCCCTTCGGTTTGGGTGGACCCCCCGGATTTGGTGGGGGACATCCAGCATTTGGAGGTGGACCTTTTGGAGGAGGTATCCCAGTCTTCGGAGGTGGAGGAGGAGGTGGTAGCTTCGGTGGCCCCTCTGGTTTATCTTTTGGTGGAGGACCCCCTTCCTTTGGACCCGGCCCATCTTCATTTGGACCAGGACCCACTCCTTTTAGCAGCGGTGGAGGTTTTGGAGGACCTTCAAGCTACTCCAGCGGTGGTAGTGGTGGCTTCGGAGGTAGTAGCGGAGGCGGAAGCTTCAGCGGTTATACCATCCAGGGTCTAGGAGGTCTAGGCGGTTCTGGTGAAGGTGGTCTGCCATTGTAAGTTTATTGTGACTTATTTATGTTTCACTCAAATGGTCTGAAATTTATTTTAAATGTCACATCGTTTCCTTTCTGAGAGAATGTGGTTTTTGTTACAATAATTTCTACTTCGCAATGGAGCACAAAACCTCTTACGCATTCCTAGTAAAAATTCCAGTCGGAGTGTTCCTGATACTCAATGAAACAAAGAGTGTATATAAGAAATCAAGTTATAATAATGTCATGTTTGCAAAAGAATTGTCATTTCTAATTTTTTTAAAGTTTTTTAAGTAACACTATTGCATTCCTGTTGTAGAAAAAACAAACAATGCTCGATTATAAATAACACACAGTGTGCGAAAATAGAACTCATGTATTAACTGTACAGCAGATACACAGATATAATATATAAGATTCCGTGTAATATAGTAGTAAAATTGTAAAATGCGTTTAGAGCATCGTATCACAGTTTTTTTTTTTTTTTTTTTTTTTTTTTTTTTTTTAATTTAAGGATAAGTTTAGATTTAAATCCAACGTTCTTTAAAATAGCGAAAACTTTGCATTTAAGGTCGGAATGCAACAGAATTGAGGCACGAATTTTCTGCTGCGATTTGGTTTAATTAGTCGAGTAACCAAGATTTCATTGCCCAAACTTTTATTTTTTTACATTTACAACATTTTTCAAGTCTTAATAACATGCATGGCTTTAATAATGAATTAAGTTTCTTTTACATAGAATGCTTTAATCTGTTCGTAGGTATATTCGTGTTGAAGTACACTTCTCAATAAACATAGTAAAGGTTTTAAATTTTAAATATCAGATTTGAATTAATGTATTAATGCACCTTTAATTTTTATTGCACTATACAAACACACACACATATATACACATGTGATGTATCAGCTTTAGTCGTAGCTTAAATAATCAGACAATAAGTTTAAAAAACAAGGATCCATTTATTATTATTCAGGAGAAATAGCAGTTACAAAAATCAGATATCCGGAGTAAATAAAAAGAATTACTAATAAATTTTTGTATGAAGTTTACTGCGTCGTGACATTTAAGAAAAAGCCCCGATATTCCCTTTGCGAGTCACAGTTACTAGTTTGACTATGGAATTTTATTATTACACACACACACACACATATATATATATATATATATATATATATATATATATAACAAAAATTCTCTTTTCGTATCTTATCGTATAAAGCTAGTATTAAATTAAATTTTAATTAGAAAATATATTATTCCAAAAAAATAATTGCATAAGTGAATAATTGTTGAGCAGACAGGAGACAGACTTATCAAGGGAAAGTTGCCTCCAAACCTAACTCTTCAATTACTCAATTCCTGTTTCGTTATCCATATAGGCAAGGGTAAAAGTAAAATTCAAAACCAAAAGCAAAACCAAATGTTGTGAATTACCAAAAAAAAAAAAAAAAAAAAATTAAATAGTGGAATTTTGCGAAAAAAGCAATTAAAAGGCTAGAATTCAAATTAATAAAATGTCAATTCAGTGTAGAAAACCAAATGTTTTAGGAAAACTAAAGTAATTTAGAAACTCTTGCCTACTGGAAACTTCCCCAGCACTAATATGCAAGTGAACCTAAAATAAACTATATACAACTATCAAAATGTATAATAATAATAATAAACAGGCAAGTAAATAGTAAGTTTTAATTTAACTTAACTAGATCTACATATTTGAATTTCTAAGTACTAGCATTTGCTAAACTAGGTGAAGTTGAGTAGTTTTTTACTGCTAACTGTATAAATAGAGGGCGCTAATACAATGTAAAGTTGAGTGTAAAGTTGCTACCTGTGAGAGCTATTGTAAAAACCTATGCTGTAAATTTTAATAATGTAAAATGTAAAACGCTTGTTTTGTGTGCAAAAATGTTGCAAACTGTGAGGCATTAAAATGTGTAAAAAGTAAAAATTTTGAGCTGCTACTGTTTGTAGAAACAGATGTTGCAAACTACTAAAGATGTCAAAATATTGAAAAAATTTTTTTGAAAAACATTTTTTGGAAAATTAAATTTAAAATAAAAGTTCGTATATTTTAATTGAATTTGGTTTAGAAAATAGTGGAGAACCGTTGTAAGAAATTTTTTGTGTTAGACTCCATTATTTAAAACTGAAGTTACAAGTTAAATCAAAACTTTAACTAAATAATGGCTAAAGGTAATGAAATTAGAAAAATAAGATAATCTTCACTCAATTCGAGCTATAATTGAGGCTTTTGAAAGGATTTGACTCTTCATTAGTAAAAGGAAAGATTTCAGCATTGATAAAATATACATTTTTACAAAATTACGTTATTTACAAGTAATTCCTCAACTTTTCAAAATTCTCCATTACCCTCCTCCATTAAGGTCCATTAAAGTTTCATCCTTCACAATCCTCCATTAAGGTTTAAGGTAATATTATCATACCATAAAGAGTTAAAAAATTAAAAAGAAATATTAATTCCTGCCTTTTTAATATAGAATTTATTAAAATGTTTTGGGACCTGGTTATTAATTTGAACATTAATTAGTTTTATTATTTCTTCCTTTAAATAATTTTACTATATTTTGTCATTATATATTTATACATTTGTATGTGTAAGATGTAACAAAATACGATAGCTGTTTTAAAAAAATAATTCCCGACCTCAATATTAACATTCTAGATTTCGTGCATGCCTCCCTAAATTTATCTGTTCTCCAAATTTGAGATCCTTCCATGTTACGTAACGTTTTAACGCAGATACCTCTTGACCAATCAAATAATTGTAAACCCAAACTTTCTCAAACTCAAACTGAAACTATCGACAACTTTCCTTCTTCCTTTGGCCCACCAGCGGACGAGCGGTAACGTCGCTAAACACTGGTAGTTCGGTCCGAGGTTCGAATCCCGACGGGCTGGATGCATGCGGGTTTTCGTGGTTTTCCCCATGTGTAACGTGTATGCGAGCCAGTTTCCCTTAGAAAGTCCTCCACAAAGGCATCCCTCCCTTAAGGCAGATAGCCCTCGAGTGCTTTGCCGTAATTTAATAAAATAAAAAAATAAAAATAAAATTAAAAAAAAAATTCTTCCTTTGAGTTACAGCGGTCTCTTTCGCTTACGCTTTCCTGCTGGCAAGACGCTACTTTTCCCCGCTACTGCTTATTTGCCTAAGATGACGTCGTACTTTAAAATGGAACTTATTATACCCAACTATAATTAAGAAATATCTTGTCTGCAAAAGAATGATTTGATATGCGTAAAGAATAAAGACTGTGATTCTTCAAGCTCAATTGTGCTAAATGCAGCATTATGCTTTTTCCACTTAGCACTACCTTCAGCCACTACGATCTGCTCAGCCATTACGAATATCGAAAGCTGTTAAAAATTCCACTGCCTTCATCTATGCACTTTAAAACATTACATATATTTTTATATATATGTAATGTTCTAAAATGTAATGTTTGTAAATGTATGTAATATTTAATATGTATATATATGTTTATTTGAAATTTATCAATTATGATTTCAATTTCTGGTCTTTGTAAAATGTTGGTTCTAAATTTCTTACTTTTTATCTTTTATACGAGGGCTATCCAGAAAGTAGATTACGTTTTGGAATAAAAAAAAAACAAAAGTATAGGAAACAAATTTTATATATACAGATGAAAGCCACACTCAAATACTACTTTTAACATAGTCACCATACAAATTAAGGCATTTATCGTAGCGATGTACGAGCTTGGAAATTCCTTCGTCGAAAAATTCGGCCGCCTGCGCCTTCAACCACTTCGTTACCTCTTCTTGCCTTCCATCTTGCACAAAACTTGTGGTAACCAAGCTTTTCGCTGATGATTTCGTGCAACAAACTTCGCGAAATTTGTGGAAAACTCAAAGAAAGTTCCGTTATTGTGAATTTCGATTTTCACGGACTTTAGCATCGACTTTTTCGAGAAGTTCGGCGGTCACTATGCTGGGTCTCCCACTTCGATCTTCGTCGTGAACATTGGTTCGGCCATTTTGAAATCTTAGACCCACTGACGCACTCCACCTTCAGTGATAATGTTGTCCCCATACACTTCACGAAGCTGCCGATAGATTTCTATCGGTTTACAGTTTTTTGCAGTCAGAGAAACCTTATTACTGAGCGCACCTCGCAGCTCGCGGGATTTTCAATTAACGCAGACATTTCAAACCGTCACAGTATCTGAACGGAGCACAGCACGAACCTCTCACTAGCACGGCTAGATGCAGACTGAGCTGCGCAACGCAACGCTCTGACCCAAGATGGCCGCGCTAGCCCCGCCCCTAGCGGACACAGACGGAAACGTAATCTACTCCTGGATGGCCCTCGTATATATAAAGATAAAAAAAATTGAATTTTAACTTTAACTTCCGATAGCCCCATAACTTTCTTATAGTCCCGTAACATAATTTTGTAATTTTCTTGTTTCGTCCTAAGAAAACAGATAAACTGCTTAATATAAACAATAATTGCTGATAATACATCCGGTTAAAAAAAATCCCATTAAAATCCCGCTGTTGAAACTGCGTCATTTCATATTTAATCCGCGTCATATGATACTTGCATAAAGCTAATATCGCACTTTTACACAGCGATTCAGCCAATAATTATTTCAAATTTGCAAATCGAACATTAAAGTTAACCAATCAAAATACAATCATTCTAGATGAGAGTTTCATCTTGGATACGTAGCATTCTTTCGCTCTGATTCTCAGTTGTGCTCTTGCTTGTTGCTCTTTTCTCCATTTAAATTAATCGTTGTATAGATGTGGTAACAGCACAAATGTGTTCCATAGCGGGTGCGGATATTACGCTCATAAAGCTATGTAATTCATGTCAAGAATGTGTTTATCAAGAATACAACTTCTAAATCATTACACGCGCTCATTTATAAGCATATGGAATAAAAATAAATGCGATATAAAATATAAACAAATAAAATTTACAAAATTACGATGTTCGTTTATATTGCGCCAATTCAATAACTATAATGTGTAAACATATTAAATACAAATAGTTTAAAATTCTAAACGTCTCAAAAAAAAACTTTATTAACCAAAAAAAAAAAAAAAAAAAAAAAAAAAAGATGCCCTAAAATGCCAAAATATTCCAAAAAATGAAGTATATTATTCATATGATTATGCAAAGCGAGGAAAAAAATATATGCAGAGAAATTTAGACGAGTAAAATGGGTCAAGCTAGATAACGCTTTTCGCAAGAGGGTAAGATTATCTACATGTAAGTAAATATATATGGTATAACAAAAACTTATAAAATGTCTGTAATAAACAGTAACTACTGATAATAAATCCTGCTAAACTGCGTCATAATCTGCAAACATATTCAATACAAATAGTTAAAAATTCTTTTAAATACCTCAAAAACAAAATTTTATTAACAATAAAACCAATGGAATGGATTCGTGAAAGAAATTGAATTCATCGCCCTAAAATGCAAAAATTTATTCGTATACCAAATACACCCTCTGGGTATAATATGCAATTACATGCAATCCTACCATGTTCACAATTGTGGACTGTGATGAACAAATAACACATAAATTTTATTATTTATATTTTTATGTATGGCTGAAAATTTATTTAATTAAATTTAACAATACCGTATTAAAAAAATCAACAGTAAAATTAATTCTATTTGTTATATATGTGGGGGGAAGTTCATGATGGTTCCTGGATGTGGTCAAACTGATGAAATTTTGTAAAGCCTGCTTTGTTTAAATATTTTTAAGGAGTACATGCTATTTTGCCCTTTTTTCAAGGTGTCTTTTTTATCAATATAACTAAAAGTTGATATTTATCTCTATCATTTTCTGGCAGATGGTATGTGTAAAATATTATTTTTCAAAGAATTTCAACATACATATAGCATGCATGAATAACATCAATTATCAGACATTAAAACAGCTGCTTTGCATTACAAATTCAAGTACGACTAGCTGAACATTCTTACTTCAAACTTGCAAACATCTTATTATCAGGTATTAAAAATATCATGCAAAGTAAACGAAAGTGTTAAAAATCATTGTAATCCCATTGTTTAAAACCATCCTTTCTGTTTTAAAATTCGAATTCAAGCATAACCATATTTCTTCATTTTTATAAGTTTTGGCATTAAAAATGTCAGTGATTGTTGACTGAGTAAAGTAAAACCGTTGCCAAGATTAATTTGGAATTGCGGTAACTTTAAAGAATAATTCAGAAATGTTTTATTATTTAAATCAGAATAACGCAAATATCTCCAGTATTAACGTCGAAGAGAATACGTATAATTATCACGTGTTCAGCTAATCATATACTCACTGCCATAATGTAATTATGCGATCGTTACGCGTTAATCTAACGCATATTCTAATGCGTGGAAAAAAACATTTTGATAAATTTGTCTCACGTCACTATGACGTCATCTTTCATTAAATATCAATTTTATTACAGCTCTCTCGGCGGACGCTTCGGAAGCTTTCTCCAAGGCCTCGGCGGAAGGCGATGAAAACAAACATTTTAATCGGTTTCGGAACAGATGCGGCGGTCATTCTCTCGTCTTTGCTTGTAAATAGAACTGCGCACAATCTTCATTCTTCTGCAGCGACATCTGGTGAAAACTAACATAAGCTACTGCTTACGTTTCCAAATACTGGTTATCACTTTTGTAAATAGATACTTCTTCTTTTCTTCTTTTGTTGGAAAAGATATTGTGATATATTTTACTGTTGTAAATAGAATGGATAAAAATATTAAATTTTGTTGGATTTTTACGTTGTATGTGATTGTTTATTCGAAATGTTTACGTGATTCTTCATATTCATTAGGTGAAAGTATTATTATTTCCATGGCGTTTAATTATTTAAATTTAAATGATATAAATATCGAAAAAGAATGAGAAAATTTCTGTCCAAACTTATTATTTTTTTTGCACCAAAACAACAGTTTTAGTACATTTGTTTTAAAAACGTAATTACCAAACAAAAACATGGTGAAATATAAGCTTTGTGTTACCTTTGCTAATTTTTAAATTTAAAATGATTAATTAAAATATATTTGATTTATAAAAATAAACGTAAGAATTAAAATACATTTGATTTATGGATACATGTATAAATATTTACGTATAATATTGTTTTTAATCATTAGTCGATAGATGGCGCCACCACTATTTTACATGGAAATATTTTTGAATTTCAAAAAGGATTGAGAGACTTTTATTCTCAATTTTTTTTCCAAATAAATCCATGCATGTTTAAATACGTCAATTTCATTACATGTCATTTTTCTCAGCTTAATTTCTCCTTCTTTCACCTTCCAAAAGTATTCGAATGTGATATAAGCAATAAGCAAAGTAGTTCAAAACAATAATGAAAATATATTTAAAAAATAGAGTATAGTTCTCATTTTTATTAGTTTTGGTTTTTATAAGTTTTCTCAGTTTGTTATTTATTTAATTGGCAAAGGAAATGTTATAAAAACAAAACATAGTAGCAAGCTGTATTTAATGTAAATATGATGAATTTTTAAAGGAAAAAAAGAAAAGTACTTTTTGAGTATATGTTGCACGAAGACACTATTAGCACATTTTTTAGACGATTTTCCTTTGATATAAAAAACATCTGCTTGATTTTTTTTAACTTCAACTATATTTTTTAAACTATAAATTATCATCTGCTACTTGACAGTTTTGTTTTCATGCAAAATGTCGCTTTGAAAGGAGCAATGGATGGAAGGTTGTGTTTGTATTCTTTCCGAAGAAAGTTATTCGTACCTAATTGTTAAAAAACGTTGTGAAAGACATGGTTTTTCCGTATCTAAAGCTACGATAAGTAATGTTGTCAACAACAAAGGGGGTTGGGAAACGTCAAAATTTAACTTCAAGTGGAAAAATTGTTCCAAATACATACCCAATGAGAAAACGGAATGTTTCGAATGTTGCAAAAGTAAGACCATTAACCCTTTCCGGTACGCTACCGTTTAAAGTCGGAGTTTTGATGAAAAAAAAGGTAGGCAGTCTAATTAGGTTTAGAGGAGTACATGAGTAAAATTTTGTGAAGATAGCACTTACCGATTTAATTCTGTGGGTGTGTCCAAAGTGGCACACTGATTGAATAGAGCTTCGAAAAGAGTGCTGAAACGAGCGTTGTTGTTAATGAACTGACCGATGAGATGCAGAGAAACAAAGAAAACAGGCTCTCAGTTGTCCTAGATTATCGGTGAGCCCGGTCTGGGCACACCTAGGGTTCGCCGCTTGATTTTAGGCAAAATTTCAAGGTAAAAATTTAAAACTAATATAGAATAAGGAGATTAGCATACATCCAAAAAATATCATAGAAATTTCTTTTCAAACAATTCCTTTTATACCCTAAAAAAACCCGGAAAATTTCTTTGAAAAATGAGGGACTATACATGGCTAAAATATACGGACTGTTTTGTGTTGAGCTGCCATCTACTATAAATAAAGGAGGTTCAGAGTAACCTATAGTAACCTATAAATCCTTTTTCATTCAATTTTTCTGTGCGTACAGAAGGAAATTTTTAGGTGTGTCCAGACCGGACACACTGTGCAGCAAAAGGTTAAAAGAAAATCCGTCAAATCAAAGGACAGTTCCAAAATCCTCTAAATACTCAGTGTCAACCGTAAGTAAAGTGATTAATGCTGATTTGTATCTTAAAAAGGCGAAAAAACATAATGTGAGTCGCATTTGTCTACGATATATTGACGAACGCAGAACGTGCTGCAGAATTCTTTATGAGAAACATTTGCAGTACAAAAAAAAAAAAAAAAAAAAAAAAAAAAAAAAAAAAAAAAATCTGCTGTTAATTTCCTGGAAAAAAAATGAAAGAAGAAACGGGTATCAAGGCCATAACACTTCACTCATATCCCTACTAAATCTCCTCATCTACCACCAATGTGTTTTTGCGCTTTTGAATTTTTTAAAAGCAAGGTTATCTAAATGTCGTCTACAACCTCCTTACACTTTGGAAAGCTGTTTCAGAGAAATGGAATAAGGTACCTCAAATGTACCTGATGTGTACCTGCAAAAGGTTTTAGTATCTTGAAAATAAGGGTGATAAAGATAGCGAAGATTGAGGGTTATCAAATGGAATATTTAAAACATAAAAACTTCGGGTAAAATATTTCTGTAATCACAATGGAAATTGTCTGAAAAATGTACGAACTATACTGCGTAAGACCTTTCACCTTGGATAGAATTATCTTTATTATTTTCTAAGAATTAACTACCGGTTTGATGGCTCTTGAACTCACACGGTTATGACTAAAAATTTTTTTATTCATTTTTGGTTTGTCATTGTGCTGACATATACGTATACACAGAGTAAAACTGCGGTCGAAGAGTAGAGATAACTCGCTGGAAATATTGAAATAAAATTTCTTAAAATGGAGGCTTTGATGAAGTATGAAAATGGTCTAAATTATAAAAACGGTTCCGCCTTGTTATAAAAAAATCTGATGTGTACACCACATGACTTCCTTGTACGGAATATTAAATTATACGCATTTTTTCTTGCATTTCATTTAAACTTATTGGATTGAATTAAATCTACTTCGCCGACAGCGCATAAACCACAATAGAATAAATGTATTCTTTAAAATTCACTCCAGTATTTGTTTACCATAGCGACACTCTGCCGCTAGATTCACTTAACAGTATTATATTTCGTTCATATTATAACTCAGAATGCACATAATTTATATCATTTAAAGAATATAATTATCTAATCGTAGCCACATGTACTACTCAAATACTATAATAAAACTAGAACAATGTATAAAAGAAATTAAGCAAACAAAACAAAAAAGAAACGGTTTTTCACCGACGATTGAGTATTTCTCATTCAATTAATTCAGTTCTCACTTCGCGAAAAGGCAAAAATTCATAAAAACTCTAAATATCTATATTAAAAATTACGAAGTAAATCTTAAACACTTATTTTCTCGAAACAATTCCAGAAAGGATTAAGCATCATTTAATTGGCAATAATAAATGAAGGCTTTATCTTTGTTGTTTCGAAGCTTAGTCTCTCTAAATTGGCAACAAATCTACTATTCTTCTGTTTCAAATGTGAACAAATATGTCAGCCATGTTATTTAAAAATTAGGCTAAACCGCACTTAAACAGCTTTTAAACTGTTGATAATTGTACAAATATTGCTTGCAGACTTACTAAAGGCATAAAAACCTTAACCGGAAGATAAGAACAACATAATTCAAGCATTTTTAAAGGAGAAAATGCACAGTTTACAACATATAAGAGTAAAGAAACTGAGATCACTGAGACGGGTAACAGAGTGGATCTATGTATATATAAATATATTTATATACGTTTGGTGTGGGCTATTGCAGCCAAAATACGAAGTGCACATCTACATGTTAAATTTCAACGTTCTAAGGCTACTCGCTTTTGAGTTATGCGAGATACGTACATACGCACCTACGTACATACGTTCGTACAGACGCCACGAAAAACTCTCTTCAGAATTCATTTTAAAGCAGTTTTATAATTTTTTGGAGGAGAAGAGTCTAATCATTCCCACATTCCGTACGTACAGATGTCATGCGAAAACATCATTAAATTGCATTCGACAGCTGTCAAAATGGATATTTTCGTTGAAATATGCTGCCTGAAACTTTTCATGATTACAATACTTCCTTGTACGAAGTAACAAAGAAGTAATAAAGTAAAATCTGGCGAGGAGTTTGTTAATTTATTCAGGCACATGTATTGAAAAGTCTCTTTCTTGATGTTTACTTTTTGGGCCTTCATTTTAAAATGCGATTTGCTAAGCTTTTATTATTAAATATAGCATTACAACTCTCTCTCTCTCAGTTTTTACTTTTTTTTTTTTTTATTTTTATTTCTATTAGCCAGGGGAGCAATTTGCCCAGAAGGGCTATTAATTTCGTTTTTGGCATTTTGCGTTGATTCACAATAAAAAGAGAATCAATTTTTAAATTGTTGCCACCAAATATTACAGCCCCGTATTATATTAAAGAAGTTAAATAATGAAGAATCTGCATAAATGTATGTATGTTTCTCACATTGTAATAAAACAACGGTAACCATCAAAGTATGGGCATCTAAAAGCCCTAATTTAGAATTTGAAATTTGTTTTATTATCGATTTCAAAGCGAACAATGGCAACACTACGGGAGGCAAAAAATAGTGTGCAGCAAACGAGACAGTATATCAGAAATTTTAAACATATACTCATTTTTAAATTATTTTGCGACATTGCTGTTAATTTGAATTTTATGGTTTTAGTGCAAAGAACATGATATTTTATAAATAAAGGTAACACAAAAAACGAAACGTTAAAATATGTATCTTTAGGCGTAATATAAAATCTGAAAACATTCAGATTAAAAAAAAAATTGTTTATTTATTTCATTTATTTATTTATTACATATATATAGTATTTATATTTGTTTAACATATTGGTTATTTAATTTAGAAGTCCAATAACAAAAATCAGCGTTATATTTTCAAATTTTCACAAGACTAGTTTCGATGGTTTTATCGAAACATCAGCCTCAGCTGCAAAAGCGCAAATGAACGAGATAAGATATAATGATTAGATAAAGATAAGATAAGCCTGGACAGGAGATAAGCTACTGGCGCCATCTGTTGTTGAAACCAGAACTAAAACATAATTTCTTTAAAGGCAGAAGGCAAAGATGGATTGGAATTAGGGTCGTTAACTAGAACAGAAATATTTGTTTGAATGTGAAATGCCTCTAGAAAAT